CGTCTGCTTCTTGAGTCTTTCTCTTCGGGTCTCTCCCGGTTCTCAGGGTGTAAATAATGTAGGGGCCTTAATAATTAGAATAGGGTTTGGGGGTATATTATACTATATACTCATAATCAGGAACCCCCACAACCCTATTCTAATTATTCAGGCCTCTACAGTAGCGTGTCGCTTCATCAGCTCCTTGGAGATTTTGCTTGTTCGGCTTGTGCCCTGGTTCCATAAACCACAAAAGGTTAGAGGTTACCTACTCAGCTACTAAGATGTGGCCCCTCATCCGGCAATTTGGTGCGAATGGGGATCTAGATCACACATAACATCTGGCGCTGAACGGAACAAGGGGGTGCTACCACAACCTTGGATTGATTAATGAAGTGCTTACGGGAGCCCCGTTTGCCTCACAAGCCCCAAACCTCAAACCCTCAACTCCAAACCACAACGCCAGAACCCCCCAAACCCTAAACTCCAAGCCGAAAGCCTTAAAATCCCACAATCCTGGAGTACCACCCACAACGCTTGTATGATAGCCTGTCATAGTATGATCGCGTATACTACAGTATATAATCCGTTTATAGGTCACATTTTGGTATATTATGGTAGGACCTAGTATACTATAGTTGATGATGTCCTGAGAACAGCCGGGCCTTGTGGAAATGCAGAGGAGCCGCCCTGGACCCTCGCAGAACGCACAGGGGTGCAGCCGTCATCCTCAGGGGGGTGGGGGGGTTACTTTTGGGGCTCTGAAGGGCTCCATGGATTAGGGTCAGTTGGTGTTAAGGTTTGGGGCTTAAGTTCTTTCGCGGCTGTCAAGTACTACCTGCAGTTTTGTTAACGTCCCTTCTCCGTCTCGCAAGGAAAAGCCCTAAGGGTCCAAGTACCCAAACAGGAGGGTTTCAAGGTCCAAAAACCATTCGGAGTATGGATTTTGGGACCTAAAACCCTACTATTTAGGTACTTGGACCCTCTGGGAAGCAGTTTGAGGTTTCAGGTGCCAGGGTTGCCAGGCATTCGAAGGCTTTATGCCCAGTGGAATGAGCCCCGTAGCTTGCAGGACTCGATCGGAACACTTTATGAAGAAGTTAGTCCATGGGACCTAGTTCATGGTTGGGATAGGATCAACAATCCCCATTTTTATTCCTTACTGGGTTCAAGTACCCTTAGAAATAAAATGTTACCCAACCATGACAGAGGAAGCCGTCTACAGATGCAGCTTCTAGTAGCGTTGCGCAAACTTCGATGTCCGCGGGTGGATCCAGAGGCTTCAGCTTTCAACCGGGCTCACACGCTGTTTCCGCGTCATCCTTGATCCTTACCAGGCTGTTTTTGTGATTTACCCTCAGAGCCCGGCCATCCTCCTATCAAGGCACAAACCCGAGGGATCTAAGGACTCATGTATTACGGCTCTTCGGCCCAAAGACCATACTACATAAGGCTGTCGGGCTGTTTTGATCCCTAGGGAAAGTTTTTTTAAATCATTCTATCCTCCTCTACGACGCAGAGATTATCTGCTTCGAAAGCCTTCAAAATTGGGTGCAACGAAATGTACAAAGGGTCGAAACCCTCAGGTCAGTAGCCATCTCGGCCAGGCGTCGAGGAGTCGCGAAAGGAGCTCGTTTTGCTCCTCTGCAATTACTGGGCCCTATTGAAGAAGGGTGTAGCGTTCGGGCTTAGGGCTTAATATCTGAAAGTCTGCGAGGATTTCGGAGTTTGGGCCTCCCCTTCAGTGCCCGGTCCCCCAGTACCCCCTTCATGGAGCCCACGAGGTCCAAAAATCGCGGGGACACCCACACCCGAAACCTACTTACTAAACCCTAAACCCTAAACCCTAAACCCTAAACCCCTAAACCCCTAAACCCTAAACCAAAGTAGTTGGGCGGTGACGCCTTGAGCTTTGGGCTTCAGGGTGTCTAGGCTCGGGTCTATAGGTTGCTGAGTTCATAAACACCCCAAGAAGTGCACACTTTCAGTTTTATAGTGGGTACTATTATCCCAAAAAGTGTAAAGTGTATCCACTCAGCTTCTAAGGTCTGGGATCTGGGTCCAGCGTTTCGAGCTTTAGCGGCTTAGGGTTTCGGATTCAGGCTGTAGTGCTAGTCGACAGCAAAACAAGCGTAAGTCACGGTTTCCGTGGGCGTGGATGCTGTTCTTAGCTCTGTTTCCCATCAGTCAAAAATGTAAGCATTCCTGTGTTTGAGATGTATGTTCGTGCCTTACACTCACTTTTCGACACTCGTGCCACGCCTCCTTCGTTTACCTATGGTTGCCATCGTGAGTATGACTGGGTATTGTCCGTATGTTTATACCGGTGCTAAACCTTGGTGGATATTCTCCGGTGAGAAACGCAGCTTCTCTTTCTCTCTCTCTCTCTCTCTCTCTCTCTCTCTCTCTCTCTCTCTCTCACACACGGACTCAGTTGCCTGTCAGCCGCGACGCGGAACATAGCGATTTCGTCATGCACGCTTATCTAAAATGAAATGCAATGAGAAAATCGGAATTACCAAACTACAAGGATCGCACATGCAGTGCCCAATCATCCCGGATGCCCTCCAAGCTGAGTTGAGGTAGACGTTGTAAGTTGTGTACGTGTATATCCGATTGGATAAGTGAACCATGTAGTGCGACGACAGTAGCTGGACATAGCAGTTGGACCACGAATAAGTCCCCGTGTAGCATGAGAAGACGTGGAATAAACTGTTCCAGGATCGAATGCACCGTCCCATAGAAGGTCAGCTTCTCTTTCTATATAGGGCATTTGCGGCTTCAGGCATCTATAGCGCACGAGGCTGTAAGCACGCTGTCTGATTTCAGCGGTTTACACGTTTGTTCAGTGAAGATCAGAAAGCTTCGTCGGGCTGCGCATGAAGCGCATACCGTGTCGCTTGAGGTGCGCATACAGTCTCAAGAGCTTATGAACTCGTTTTATCTTGGTAGAGGGTTTTCCGTTTAGATCGTGGAGTTTGAGGTCATTCGGGTTTTTCGGCTTTGGGAATCGAGAGCTTCAGGACTCTTAGTCCTTCAGTGCCCAATCTGAGGAGTGTTGGACCCTGTTCGGCCTCCCACACAATTCGGGCCCACAGATCTCCTCGTAAAACTTTCCATAAGGGTCCATGTACCTAAATAGTAAATACATCGGCCTTAAAGTACTCCCTATATGGGTACATTGGGCCCAAAGTATATACTATTTGGGTACATGGACCCTTAGGGTTTCGTAAATGAACGACCGAAGTACTGCCATGTATGCCGCTGGTGTCACAAGTGAGTTCAACAACAGAAACTTCGTACCGTGGACCCTAAACCCGAAACCTCTGTTAGACACTTTTCCGGTTGTAACAAGCACATTCGCGATTTCAAATTTTAAGATGTTACGGTTTATTTAGGGATCAAGCTCGGGGCTTTAGGGCCCCAACCCTAAATCCTGGAAGTTTAGTGCTAAGAGTTGTTCCGGGTTTGGGATTCAGGGCTTACCTATAGTTCCCATGTCAGTTCTCTTTTTGGCTTTACCCATTCTACAGCAAGGATCCTACAAGGTAACCCCCGAAAAGGAACCACAATGGAGACCATAATTAGGTAGGGTCCTTGATGCCCAAAAATCCCCTCAGGAGGCTTCCCTACATGGAGGTTCAAGGGTAGCTATAAGCAGGGTAACTATACTTATAGCCCGTATTAGGGGACTTACAACCCCACTTTTAACTACCCCTCAACCTCCAAGTAAACCCTAAACCCTGTACCCTTATAGAATCCCTATAGATCCCTTTAAAGAGACCATTAAAGGAACCCTTGTAAATAATCCTGAACCTCCAGGGAAGCTCCTGGAGAAGGCTCGTGTGCAGGTGGAGGATTCCAAGCGCATCCTCTTTCATCCTCGAAATCTTCTTGTCGCGAACCATCGAACCCGAAAGATACTCGGTCCGAATGCAAGGGCCTTAATAGTTAGAATACTATTATTGTATAATATACTCCCACAGTCGGGTACTCGGTCCTACTTGGAGGATCATGGGACTTAGTAAGTAGGGTTATAAGTTATCAGTACCTTAATTGGGGTTCTATGTAGATATAACTTTAGTTGCCTTACCTATAACCCTACTTACTAAGTCCGGCATGTCCAGATGGGAACAAAAGGCAAACGGCAGTTAAACACACCCACGGGCGCTCCCTCTCACACACCCTCCCATGTATATGTATATATATATACACACACACACATACACACACACACACACACCGCAACTGAAGCTGAGCGTCAACTTTCTGAGCTCCATGATAGAAAACCTGTTCAGTCATACCGACACCTACCGCCTTGCAGGGTAATGTAGGAACCTGATTAAGAAACCTTGGGCCTTGATTGAGTTCTTCATAGGAATCCTACTATTTTGGTGGTTAAAGGCCCAGGGTTTCTTAATCGGGCTCCCACATTAGGGCTTCAAGCCACAAACTTTGGGTATTTTGCAGGGTTCCTTGCACCAAGCGTTCTGCTGAAAGCACTGACTAAAAATCCAAGGGTAAAAGGAGGGACCCTTAATAAGGACCCCTAGGCAAATACCCTTAATATAGCTATTATATATCCATTATATAGCCCATTGTAGGGTAGGGGTCCCCATTAAGGGTCCTTCCTTTTCCCCTTTGATAAACGCTCAAGCCCTGAACCCTCACACATAAGCCCAAGAGCGCGAACCGTAAACCAGAAACCCCGAACTCCCGAAGGTTCCCCAGTAACCCCTTCATAATAAGGGTGCCCTTGTTCCTACTATTTGGTTTTAACAAGGGGATCTCAAAACAAAGGGCAAAAGGGTCATTACTACTGGGGAGCCCTCGTAGTATAGATCCCCAACGTACCTCTAAAAAAAGGAACCCTTTTACAGAACCCCATGCCCTCAAGAGGAACCCTACTATCCTACCTATAGTCTCCATTGTGGTTCCTTTTTGGGGTTACCTTTTAGGATCCCTAATATAGAATTGGTTAAACCACAAAAAGGAACTACAATGGAGACTATAGGTAGTTCTCAACAGTCCCTAAACCGACTTGCGCGCTTCACCAAGGAGTGCATCACCACCGGATCTCGCTCGAGGAAGCTGCCCAGATGCTGGCAGAACTCGAAGTAAGACACCTTCCGAGTGATGGGAATTATAGGGGTTAGGGTTTACGGATTCTTGAAGGGTTCCTTTAAGGGATTTCTTTGCGGGTTTAGGTTCAGGGTTTACGGTTTGGGGTTGAGGGTTCAGGGTACGGAGGTTTACAGGGTGGAGGGGTTGAGGGTTCAGAGCCATTAGAAGGTTCGCGGCTTTAAGGTTCAGGGCTCGAGGGGTGGGACCCTCGACTCTGAAGAATGAACCCCAGGATTGCAGGTTTAGGGCTAACGCTGAGACGGTCTGCTCGCTGGTCTGCGTTTTGTTGCTAGAACTTCGTCCCCCTGCCGACTCTTACAGCACTTAAGCAGCCTTGAAACAATAATTACAGAGTAGACTTAGTACCACCTTGGAGTTTGAATATTCTATGATACATGAAACTAGCTCACAAGAGCACTAGAGTACAGAAGCCGTTACAGAATCCTCATAGAAGGCCTCTCTGAAACCTTGAAGATAACCCGTACAGAAACCCCAAACCTGACATCGAGGAATGAGGGTCTAGGGGCAGGGTCTGACACCCCAAGAACCGTCCCCCAACTAGCGCAATGTAGGGGTCTTCACCCCAAGGGTCCAAAGGATCCAATAGTTAGGTGCTCGGTTTTAGGACAATAGTTATGTAGGTTAGGATTCTGGAGAGTATATGATTGTTGGATACTTGGACCCTTGAGGTAATAAACAAACAGGGCTTTGGATTGTATAAGCACAAAAAGGAGCCCTGAATAATGACATCACTAAGCAACTGTTCAAGCTCCTTATGGTACTTAGATACGATTGAGGGACTGACTAAAGGTCAGAGAAGCCAGCGAACACATTGCTAAGTCCCCTGCTCCTTTCAGCAAAAAACCAGAGATGTGAAACGCTTGCTGTTTCCATGACCGCAGCTGCATGTCAGGCAAGGGGATCCCTGATGAAACGAGAAATGACACAGCTCAACCCTCACACGGAAACCAGAAACACCTAAACTTCAACCCCTCCCCCACTTCCCGAATGCTGAAGCAAGCCAGTGGCTCCGGCAACCGAACAGCCATCCTGCCAAAATCGTACGCTACGACAATCAACAAGTTCGGTGAGGGCTTAGACGTTGCACCTCACCGGAGTCATCGCTGTCGAGGACGCGGAAGATGGTTTGCATGTCATCCCGCTTGATGTCCTGTGCTACCCTAAACGAACTTACTTCTGATCCTTTCGGGGTAGGAGTTCCCTGCCCTAATACAGCTGCCTTGATAATTAGAATAGGGCTTTGGTGCCAACTATAGTATACTTACAATAATAAAGGAACCTCCAGACTGGCGTAGGGTACTTTTTTGGGCCTCTATATCAGGGGTTACAAGTGGCGCCATAAGCAACTCGTCCACACTTGATGTCCTACGGCACACCCCCCGAAAAATTCTTCCTAGAGTGGGTCATGAGCGTGTGATTCCACGCAAATAATGCCCTGTAGCACCCGGCAAGCTCTTGGCTTGAGCCCCGGGGGGTTCAAGCATTGAAAAGGCGAAAAACCAAAATTGTCCGAGCGGTATCTGAACCTTCACGGTCACCGAAAGATAGTGAAGCTCGGGACTTTTGGCCCAGATTTTCTCAGACCCAAACTCGAAAACCCCCGAAACCCCAGACTCGCAGGGTTTAGGGTTTAGCACTGTAGTACGCACCAACCCAGCCTGAACTTAGGCAAACCTTCCTTCCAGCAACAGTTACCACAAGGGAGATGTGCAAGTACCAGGTAATATTGGTGACTAAATACTTCCTACCCTCAATCTCAAACCCGATACCTTAAACCCGAAGACCTAAACCTACAAGCCGAAATGTGGAGTTCACCTCCAGGACCCCCCAAGGACCCTTCAAATAGTCTCCCTATGGCCCCTTAATAGTGGGTTTTTGGGTGTAGATTAGCTAGCCAGTGGTTTTGGGGTTCCCTTGGCTTTGTAGCTCCTTTAGGAGGGACTATCATCATCCCTGGCTCCTTAGCTCCTGCAATATCAATGGTTAGCTAGATGGTAGTTTAGGGGGTCTAGGCTGAGGTAAAGCCAAGTTTCCATCACCTGCATGAGTTTCCGAAACTCCTCGTTACGATCGTATCCGTGCAGCCTTAGCAGGGCTTCTCGGACAACAAAGACTTAACATGGTGACTTAACATGGTTTTAATAGGGTTTAGGGCTTAGGGTTTAAGGTTTTAGGGTTTAAGGTTTTAGGGCTTTAGGATTTAAGGTCCAGGGCTTAGGTTTAGGGCTTGGGGCAGATACTTACCGATATCATTCCTTGGGGTTCTTAACATGGGCTTAGGTTTAAGGCATGGAATAAATATTGACCTATATGGGAGTTTCCGAAAACTAGGGGTACCTTATTTTGGGGTCCTTATATATAATAAGGATCCTATTATTTAGGGTACTATATTAGGGGCCCCTATTTTCGGAAACCCCCATATCATTCCTTGGGGTCCCTGCTTGAAAGACTTACTATGATGGGCCCCGAAATGCTGTTAATTGAGACAAGTGTTTGTAACAGTCTGCTGGGTCATCTATTCCTGGCTAGGGCTTCCGCGGCCTTATAGGGCTTTCGGAGCAGTATATGCGGCGAAATCGAGGACCCGAAACCCTAAACCCTGCTTTAATGGGATGTCCTGGGCCTTGCATTTCCACAGGATCTGATGTTGATTGGGCTCGCCAGGCCGACGGCTGATGCTAGGGTTTAGGGTTTAGATTTTTTGTTGAGCTCCTTTCTCCAGGGTTTAGGGTTTAGGGTGTGTCGGAGAAGGAAGGTGTGGGATTCCGCAGTTTGGGTAATAGGACAACGCTAGTTTTCCAAAGGCATTGCCCCTCTCTCTCTTCTTCAACAACCGCGCCCCAAAAAGTTCAATCTTTCTAAGATAGAGCAAATATATAAGGCCAAAAAGATTAAAGTTCCCCCGTTCACTATCTAAGCTATAGAAAGCTACTTTAGACGTAACCTCTCCTTTCCGCTTGGCTCAAGATCCCCACAACTTGCGCGAGGCCTCCACAAAACCCGGCCATTATCCCTAAGCCTGAAATCAAAAGACCTGAGCCCTATAAACCTCCAAACCAAGATGCATCTCTACCAGGGACAAAGATCCACTGTTGTCTTCATCCATCGTGGCACATAGCACGGCCAGGTCTATCATGTTCTTTGACCTTTCTTCCTCCTGGATTAGGGTCTAGGAGAGAGGCCGGAATACGAAGGAGGGTTCTGGAGTTCATAAAGGGGATGTCAAGGCAAATTTGACAAGGGCTTTGAAGCTTTGAGGCTTTAAGGATTTAGGGTGAAGGACATAATGATAGGATATAGTGTTCAGTCAAACCCCAAAACCACTGTAGGAGTTTCCGGCCCTTCGTCGGAACGAGCAACGCCCCCACGCGGAAAAAAATGCCAAAGGGTTTAAGGCTTTCGGGTTTGGAGTTTATATAGGGCTTTAGGCTTTCGGCGCTCGCACTCGGACAATCCAGGCGAGGCATTTAATTAGACATAAGGGTTGAGGACACAGGATGCGAGCCCCGACGGCTTTGTGATTCGGAATGATTAGGGTATGTATTATTTAGGACATTTAGGTCCCCAGAGCATGTACAGTCTCCATCGTAGGTTCTTTTTGGTGTTGCCTTGTCGGGTCTATGTATTGAAATGGTTGGACCAAACTTGCCACGCTAGCCACTCAAACCTGAAAACACCAACACGATAGTTCTGCCGCGTATGCCTCGTTTCAAAGGGTTAAGCAAAGCCACCTCAAGCATGCTTAAACACATAGCACAAAGCAGTATACGTATCACACTGTATGCAAGCAACCGCGAACTTTGAAGTAAACCTAGCAAAATTAAGTCCTACAGGCGCAACCCTCAAACCCGAAAGCCTGAAACAAGTACTAATCACTAAGCCTTACTAAGCCTTACTAAACCCAAAAACTTGAAAGCCACACCCCACACCAGTAATCACCAGTAATGTGCCGGCCGGTTTAGGAATATGGGCTCCTTTAATGCGTCGGCTCCGGGGCTAATTCCGACCGGTACCAAAAATTTGGGCGGTCTAATTAATGCGTTTTTTTTGGCTGGGGGGGCTTTTTTGGTGGCGGGGCTGTGCTTTTTGCTGATGGTCAATCTTAAGGCAGCCACGACCTAAACCCCCACCCAAACCCCCACCCAACCCTAAAACCCTGGCCCTGAAGCCCGAAAATCTCTTGCAGAATTGTTTCGCTTATTGGGGCGTCAGGAATGAAAATCTGTACTACTACTGTACTACTATTCTACTATACCTTGATTATTGGGGGGGGCTGGGGGGCTGCTAGGGTGAACCGCCGAATCGGGGATTGGACCCTAGCTCAAAAGAGGCCTCTCCAGTACTAAAGTTTGTATAAAAAATTAAGTTTTGGGTCGAATCTGGACCGACCCCCCTTTGGAAGGGTTTAGGGCTTAGGGTTTAGGGTTTGTTATAGGGTTTAGGAGTTTAGGATTCGTTAGGGTTTAGGGTTTGTTAAGGTTTAGGGTTCAGGGTTTAGGGTTTCAGGCGCTGGCTTTATGCTTTGCTTATTGGGGGAATGTGCTCACTGGCTTTATGCTTTGCTTATTGGTACTATTTCTGTACTATTACTGTATTACTACTGTACTACTGTGGTACTACTACTGTACTACTAGTGTACTACTGTACTACTATTGTACTACTACTGTACGATTACTGTATTACTATTGTACTACTGTACTGTTATCGTACTACTACTGTACTACTATTGTACTACCACTGTACTACTGTTGTATTACTATTGTACTACTGCACTATTATTGTACTACTACTGTACTACTACTGTACTATTATTGTACTACGGTACTATAAACGTACTACTACTGTACTATTACTGTACTACTATTGTGCTACTATTGTACTACTGTACTATTATTGTACTACTACTGTACTACTATTGTACTACCACTGTACTACTGTTGTACTACTATTGTACTACTGCACTATTATTCTACTACTACTGTACTACTACTGTACTATTATTGTACTACGGTACTATTATCGTACTACTACTGTACTACTATTGTGCTACTATTGTACTACTGTACTATTATTGTACTACTACTGTACTACTATTGTACTACCACTGTACTACTGTTGTATTACTATTGTACTACTGCACTATATTGTACTACTACTGTACTACTACTGTATTATTTCTACTGTACTACTATTGTACTACTGTACTATTATTGTACCGCACCAAGCTTCATACGTGGTCGATTGTGGGTGGGAGTGTGGGAGTGTAGGTTAGGGAGGCAAAAGTGTTCAAAATGAAAGGTTTTTAGTCTTGGTAGTAATCTTGGAGTGATCGGGGCTTGGTTTCCAGCATTTGGTGATCCCCAGACCCCCCCGACCGCGCATTCGCCCAGAACCGCAGACCCTGCACCCAAGCCAGCCCCCAAACCCCGGCACCTCCCAATGCCACTCAGACCCCTGACCCCTGTCCGGGGCTACCGGTTCCATACTAAACCGACCGCAACTTTTTGGTCGGGGGGGGGGGGGGGGGGGTACCCAGGGTACCCCACTATTAAACCGACCGCCACATTAATCCCTCAACCCCCCCCCCCCCCCCCCCCCCCCCCCACAAAAAAAAATCAAAATCCTCCAGAACTCCCAGCTCCGCTCCTTTTGCTTGATCTTCCGCTCCTGGTCCTTGTCCCGCCCCTGCGCGGCCCGCTCGACCTTCCGGTTGGGGTCTAGGGTTTTAGAGGTTTAGGGGTTTAGGGGTTTCAGCGCTCACACTCGGACAATCCAGGGGGTTTAGGGGTTTAGGGTTTTAGAGGTTTAGGGGTTTAGGGGTTTCGGCGCTCACACTCGGACAATCCAGGGGGTTTAGGGGTTTAGGGTTTTAGAGGTTTAGGGGTTTAGGGGTTTAGAGGTTTAGGGGTTTAGGGGTTTCGGCGCTCACACTCGGACAATCCAGGGGGTTTAGGGGTTTAGGGTTTTAGAGGTTTAGGGGTTTAGGGGTTTCGGCGCTCACACTCGGACAATCCAGGGGGTTTAGGGGTTTAGGGTTTTAGAGGTTTAGGGGTTTAGGGGTTTAGGGGTTTAGAGTTTAGGGGTTTAGGGGTTTCGGCGCTCACACTCGGACAATCCAGGGGGTTTAGGGGTTTAGGGTTTTAGAGGTTTAGGGGTTTAGGGGTTTAGGGGTTTAGAGGTTTAGGGGTTTAGGGGTTTCGGCGCTCACACTCGGACAATCCAGGGGGTTTAGGGGTTTAGGGTTTTAGAGGTTTAGGGGTTTAGGGGTTTAGAGGTTTAGGGGTTTAGGGGTTTCGGCGCTCACACTCGGACAATCCAGGGGGTTTAGGGGTTTAGGGTTTTAGAGGTTTAGGGGTTTAGGGGTTTCGGCGCTCACACTCGGACAATCCAGGGGGTTTAGGGGTTTAGGGTTTTAGAGGTTTAGGGGTTTAGGGGTTTAGAGGTTTAGGGGTTTAGGGGTTTCGGCGCTCACACTCGGACAATCCAGGGGGTTTAGGGGTTTAGGGGTTTAGAGGTTTAGGGGTTTAGGGGTTTCGGCGCTCACACTCGGACAATCCAGGGGGTTTAGGGGTTTAGGGTTTTAGAGGTTTAGGGGTTAGGGGTGTTCGGCGCTCACCACTCGGACAAATCCAGGGGGTTTAGGGCGTTTAGGGTTTTAGGAGGTAGGGTTTTTTTAGGGGTTTAGGGGTTTAGAGGTTTAGGGGTTTGTTAGGGGGTTTTCGGCGCTCACACTCGGGACTAATCCGGGGGTAGGGGTTTAGGGTTTGAAGAGGTTCGGGGTTTTAAGGGGTTTCGGCGCTCACACTCGGACAATACAGGGGGTTTTTTAGGGGTTGGGTTTTAGTTTAGGGGTTTAGGGGTTTAGAGGTTTAGGGGTTTAGGGGTTTCGGCGCTCACACTCGGACAATCCAGGGGGTTTAGGGGTTTAGGGGTTTAGAGGTTTAGGGGTTTAGGGGTTTCGGCGCTCACACTTGGACAATCCAGGGGGTTTAGGGGTTTAGGGTTTTAGAGGTTTAGGGGTTTAGGGGTTTAGGGGTTTAGAGGTTTAGGGGTTTAGGGGTTTCGGCGCTCACACTCGGACAATCCAGGGGGTTTAGGGGTTTAGGGTTTTAGAGGTTTAGGGGTTTAGGGGTTTAGGGGTTTAGAGGTTTAGGGGTTTAGGGGTTTCGGCGCTCACACTCGGACAATCCAGGGGGTTTAGGGGTTTAGGGTTTTAGAGGTTTAGGGGTTTAGGGGTTTCGGCGCTCACACTCGGACAATCCAGGGGGTTTAGGGGTTTAGGGTTTTAGAGGTTTAGGGGTTTAGGGGTTTAGGGGTTTAGAGGTTTAGGGGTTTAGGGGTTTCGGCGCTCACACTCGGACAATCCAGGGGGTTTAGGGGTTTAGGGTTTTAGAGGTTTAGGGGTTTAGGGGTTTAGGGGTTTAGAGGTTTAGGGGTTTAGGGGTTTCGGCGCTCACACTCGGACAATCCAGGGGGTTTAGGGGTTTAGGGTTTTAGAGGTTTAGGGGTTTAGGGGTTTAGGGGTTTAGGGGTTTAGGGTTTAGAGGTTGGGGTTTAGGGTTTAGGGTTTAGGGTTTAGGGTTTAGGGGTTTAGGGGTTTAGGGTTTAGGGGTTTAGGGTTTAGGGGTCTAGGGGTTTAATGTAGGAACCTGATTAAGACACCTTGGTCTTTATTGGGGCTCCTTATATGAGTCCTACTATATTGGGGGTCATCGCACTAGTGTTTCTTAATCCGGTTCCTACTTTGCCTGTAGCCCGAAAGCCCTACCCTACCTTGAGGTTCCTGACTAATTACGTTCAACTTCCTGAAAAAGTTTGGTTTTGGGGGCTACAGGTGGGGTTTAGAAATAAAGAGTTGCAGCTACAACTACTAACATGCCAGGGCATGAGGGTTCTGGGTATACCGGACCCATTTATTCATGCAAAGGGCAGCATGGACAAACCAAAGAATCGTAAGCCCATGTTTCTTGTGACCTGAAATTAAACCTGAGACGAAACAACATGACAAATATGCAGCACTAAACGCGAGATAATGCAACATGCATTCAATGCAAGGGTGATTCAAACAGGGATTCCATATGCTGCGCCTCCGGGGAGTGCGGCTAATGACGCTACCCTAAGGCATGCCTTCCGTAAAGACCCGAACCCCAATACGCCATCCATTCGCTGAAAGCAAAAGGACAGTTCATCTCAAACCTCCTGTCGCCCCCAAGATGACCCTTCCGGTCTAGGCGGTGGGAAGAAACGCTGACACTTTTGTGCTTTCTTTCTGAGCCCTTCAACTATGCCGGAATGATGGAGCTTCGGGCGTTTAGGGTTTGCAAGCCAGCTGCTATCACGGCGAGGATGAGATTCATGGCGCCCAGAGAGACCGTCATCATCATCACGAAGAGGACAGGGAAGGTCCATGGCGCCGCCTCTACACGACTTCCAGTAAAGAGAACTAGCACAGAGGCCTTGACAGTTAGAACAGTAACCCTAAACCCCAAATTCCCCAAACCCCAACCCCTAAACCTTAGAAGCCCTAGGGCGATGAACTTTGGGACTGCTGGTGGGAAGTTCACTTCTTTGCCGGGCCTTGAACTCTAGTGGGGCAGCGGCTAGGGTTTGTGTTTGCCGGTTTTTTTTCAAGTTGAGGAGCTTAAAGCTGCGGGTGTATGTTAGGTACGGCCCCCTTACAGTAAGAGTCTTCAATAGGGCTACGATTAGGGTCCTAATATATCTATATTTTTTGCCACCCGCCCAGCTGAAACAAGAGATATATTATGAGTACTATTCAACTGATACTGAGTGGGGGCCGTACCCAAGGTGTTTGGCTTAAGGGCTTGGCGGCTTCGGATGACCATGTCCTTGCCTGGTACTAATTTAAACATGACCTGTCGAAAATTGTGGCAGTCCTGGGGTGAGGATTGCTTCGGCGACTACGTACATCCACTTTCTACAGTGTAAAGCTTAGACTGCAGCATCACGCTGCTGGCTGGGTCGTCACTATCAAAGTCAGCAGCATTCCTGGAGCTCTGACAAGTGGGGTACATGGGGAATGCTTGTTATCTTCCGCTGGATGCTGCTGCACTGCCTTGGGCTGAACACTGAGATCACAATTGCCGGACAGACCGTCTTCGTCGCCGTAGTAGTAGTAGTAGTAGTAGTAGTAGTAGCAGCAGCAGTATGTATCAGTAGCAGGACGAGGAGTAGCAGCACACCTGACTGGTCAGCAACTAGTTTACAAAGTGCTCGCTTCAGGATTAGAGGTCGAATACGCCTGTGAGAGACCCAGACATTTTCCTGATTTGAACACTTCGCACCTGGCCCTATCAGGGTTGTTTCCAGTCATTGCAGGGCCCCAAAAAAGCACATAAGCACAACTTAGGATAGGGATATCTCATGGAATCCCCCTCATAATGAAGCCCAATAAGGTAGAGTTATCCCTATAAAATGCTTATGCTTATGTGCTTTTTTGGCCCCTATCAATTCACCGACCCGCTCCTTGATCCCGATTTTCCTACTTGGAAATTCACTCCAAACATACAAGTGGGTGGTTGTCAAAATTATGGTCCCTTTTTGGGTACCCTACATATTAGGTGCCGTATTATGATATGGACCCAAAACGGGACCCTAATATTGACAACCACCCAAGTGAAGCTCGAGCTTCTTGCGGCCTCAATCAGTGGCAAAGAAATCCTTGGCTGTTCTCAGCCAGACGTGCTTTCCGGGCGCAGCAATGCAAGGCGGGCTTGAGGCTGGATTTCGCCTGCACTCGTTCGTTTGTCAAGCTTACGGGCTGAGTATCCTAGCCGAAGAAAGATTGCACTTTTGAATCATAGTAGGATCCTATAAACCCCAACAGGTTCATTAAAGGTTACCTACTCAGCTACTCAGCAAGGTTTGATGCAGGCAAAGAGCGCACCCCATGCATCTCCCATGACCATCTGCTGGAAAAGCGTAACTGTCGCGGCGAAGATGCCGCTGAATCCAGCGGAACAGTTTCCACCTACAGAGGGGCTTGATTGATCATTTCGGAGGTCCTTGGTTCTTGCCAGGAAACAACCCTGAATCGCAAGTCTTGGACACCTATTGCCACTGCAATTACTGGTCGCTTTTGGATTTCCGGTACTGTTACCCTTACAGTTCAATTTTTGCTTATTTCTGCTATCGCTGGCACAACGGCAAGCAAGCAGCGAACCGTTAAGGGCCTTGACACGTACACGGTGACAAGTCTAGGCAGGACTTCTAATGCTGGTCTGACGGGGACTTGTGAGGTGGATAACATCAGGCAGGGCATCGGTGTCCTACGATGCATCCGGTTTTAGGAGCTTATTTTCTTGGACTCAAGGACCAACCCCAACAAGCCGATCGCCACTAGACCGTAACCCTAGCAGGAGTAAGCACGTCAATCGGAGCACAAGTATGGAGGGTTGCACATATACGGGCATCTGGCACTTGTAGCTCACTTGTGAAAGCTACTGAGTAAGTTCTTCACCTGGCTGTGTTTGTGATGCCTAAAACGAACTCTGTAATCAACACACACTGAGCCCCGCAATCGCCAGTACCATACACCAACCCCTTCATTCCCAACTGCATCCTGCCCCACCAACCTGACCAATCAAGGCAGTACAGGAACAAACCTTTTCCTGCGGACCCCAAAAGCATCGTTCTACAAAGTCTCCTTGAGTTGGAGCAAAAGCCCAAGACATAAGACCGCATACTTTAGAAGCTGCCCACACCCTGTAATAGTGACTATACGGATTATATTAGGGCCCTATTGTATTCCGATTATACCACTATTGGTCCACCACGGTTCGGGGGCCGAACTCGACCACTGCGTTTTGCGCAGTTCAGGTCCGCCTCCCCCACGACATCACTATCAACTCTGGCGCTTAAGGGCGTTGTCGTAATTCAAGCCCTAAGAAACACCAGCCCCTTTCCTTTAACAAACCTATAAAACCCAATCCAAAAAAACGAAACCAAAAAACAAAAAAATCAAAAAAAAAACAAAAAACATTATTTCAGTGCTCTTCCAGAATAACATCAGAAATATACACAAATGGGAGAGTTCTGAAAGAATGGTTTTTGTGTTTTTTTTTTTTAGTTTTTTGGTTTTGTTTTTTTGGTTTTGGAGGTTTTGGTTTTTAGGTTTCGACGCTTAGAGACACATTGGCTACGTGACAGACAGTTCAATGAATCGCTGCGCATTCCAAAAGAAGCCGATGCGTGTCAGTCGCGTGCTGCATCACATATATCGCTCATGCATCACTGGTCTCACTCATGCCGTACACAGTTTGTGATTCGCGGTGTTCCGTACTCAAGCCTAGTAAAACCTAGTTCTATTTTCCGGTGACTCATATCTGCACAGCAGTCGCGATTCATGACAAGCTTCCGGTGGCCTCCTCAATACTTATTAAACTATCTTGGTTGGAAAGGACTGTAGTGATACAAAATGAAACTAACGTGCAACCTCTCACCAACTGAACTAGTATCATTCCAACCACTATATTAAGTAATCTCCTTAGGCTTGCACTCTACTAACCTCTACACACAGCTATCCTAGACCATTCATGACAATGCCACTACATTTAGCCGTTCAGTGAGTCGTTTGAATACTGCACAAGCCAATACATATAATAGTCCTAATGGGGTAGCATTGATTGTACTTAATGGTAAAACATAATGAAAAAGTGCAACAACATAATAAGAGTCATGAGAATCTATATCAATAGCAGCACTAATTACCAAGTATAATACCGGTTGAACCACCTATTGAAAAAAGACTATATGAAAGATATACTATAACAGTTAACATTAGTTGTGAAATAGTATCAGTAGACATGCATTACTTGTCCAGGGATGTGGAATACCAACTACATGATCGTAACGAACAAGTTGGTAATGATAATATAACCAAGGTATTAACCTGTAAAGTTAGCTCTTGTATTACTGTTGCATACTAGTTGTAAACATATGATGTGTCCAAACGAATTTATCCTAATAGACAAAGACAGCTCATAGCCTCATAGCTCAAGTTATCCGATTATAGACAAGTTAAAAAAGACACTAAACATGCAATAAGCCAGTTATTGTTTAACTATTGATTATCGAATGCTGGAAGGGGTAGACTTCTGGATTCCCAAAAAACTAAATCAAACATTGATAGAACATAGCATCACCTCCAAATATGAACCAGATGCTATTGTATTAAGTGCACATCTGTTAATAACCTTAATTAGTGAAGCATCGCACCTGTTAAGATTGGTAGGGCTATTAATAAGATAGATGATGTAGTCCTAACTGATCGTTGGTTATGTAGCTTAACATCAACCTAATGATTGCACAATGTGACACGCAATACAGAAATTATATAGATGTTAATGTTGATGACAGAGCTGATATAGTTAAACTATAGATAAAAAGATTGATACTGCGCACATACACACACACACACACAATTCTCAGCATATTCCTAAAGCATGCAAAACGCAGCGGTCGACTTCGACCCCGTAACCACCACTATTACAGGGTGGGGGACCCTTCTAACCCATACTGCACGGGCCTGAACAACTAACAGAGGCATCCCAGTAGTCCCCATACCAATGCACTACCATCCACCCTCGGCCAATCCCTACTCCAGTTACTACCCTACTTGTGGGGTATCATGGGGAACTAAAGGTTAACCTTTTTGGTTATATAGGAAATATATAGGGACTAAACTACCCAAAAAAGGTTAAAGGTTCCCTACTCTACTATTAGGCTATGGAGCCCCGGATCAGATCTGGTGGTTACAGAAAAGCACGGATGCCGAGGAGGGATCTCAAAGCATCCTATGAGGGCTTCAACGGCTCTGTATCAGGGCTCTCCAACGGCGGCTGCTATACCGGGCTCCTTAGGTTTGACTAGAACCCTGGCACGAAGAGACCCCCGATTAGTGCACCCCAACAATCCAAACAAAAATACATCTTTCTGGCCCAAGCCACAGTCGGGATAGGGGAGGACCGAGATGATGGGATGTAGGACCTCCACGGCAATGACGGCCCAGAACACCAAGGCAGCCACCAGAAGCAGGGAACCGAAAATGATGGCCTCTGCAGGGCACAGTGACGGGCTTTGTACCCTTTTGCCTAAACCCAACCCTAACCCTAAACCCCACACCCTAAACCGAAACTTAGTACAGGCGCACTGGGATCCTAACGGTCATAAGCTATCGGCGCAAAGTGCTTTAGGGCTCATGTCGATGTGACTAGGGCATGAACCAACCACCGGTGGTTGGTTGTGCTTTTTTTGTGTTTGGCTGTGTGTTCGGCTGATTGTCTGTCTGTACGTTTGTTTGTGTGTTTGCTGGTTTGTTTGCTGACGTGGCTAAAACTCGTGTATACCAAGAGTTTTGTCTTCTGTCCTAGTGCCACCAACTCTACGGAAGAGTTCATTGCATTCGTGCTTTTCCTGAGGTGCCCGGCCTTCTCATTTCAGCCGTTCCTACATAAGAGTGAACGAGATGCCGAGCATGCATCGGCCGACCTACATGGGTGGTTGTCAAAATTATGGTCCCTTTCTGGGTGCCGATTATAATACGGAAAAAATTATTTAGAGTTCCCAAAAAGGGACCTTAATTTTGACAACTACCCGACATGAGCGTGAGCTTGGGTTTAAGCTTGGGTACCGAAAACTCAGAGAAAGGACTGGCCACTTTTGCATTGACCTGGGCTGCCCAACGTTCCAAAGCTCGCGCCAGGAAAATGCCAAGTACCACAAATAAAAATCCACAACAAGAGCTACAGTAAGAGGTAATAGCACGACAAATCCGAGCAGCAAAGGACATGATGCGAATTACGTTACCGCGATATTGCCGGAAATGATCCAGCAACCCTAAACTAACACGCAAGGCGGGGTCGTGATTGGGAGACAGCATGGAAGGAATTCCGAAAGAGCCCTCAACGAACAGCTTCTCGACATTGCAACTGCTACCTACTCTAAGGAGGATGCTACCGGACCCCTGCAGCTCAGAAACCCCTAGCCCTAAGCATGCACCCTAAACCCTAAACCCTTTTTTTGCATCAGGACTTGTGCAATCGCCTGAATACATGGACCCTGAACCCTAAACCCTACAGTAAACTCCATAAAGTTGGAAACCGGATTAAGGCCAAATAGTGCTGGGATTCCCTATACATTACTCTTAAGGATTGAGGCTATTGGGTTTCCAACTTTTGGGCTTCTACTGTAACCATGCACCTTGATGGAGGATGAAAAGCCGGTCACCAGCAAGTACAGCTCTGGCACTGAGATGATGACGCGCAGAGCTCGGATTAGCCTCTCTGTCGAGGGCTACATTAGGGTTTAGGGGTTTAGGGTTTTTTCTTTGAGGGGTTTAGGGTTTAGGGGTTTAGGGTTTAGGTTTCTTCTGGGCTTGTGAAGATCGAAGAAACCCGATTTCTGCCTTGACCCTAATGCTAAAAGCGAGAACTCAAAACACCCCAACACGGGCGGGTTCGCAGGACCCGTCGTTTTGGAGTTTTGCTTTTGCGGCTTGATGGGTGAGGGGCTTAACAGTTACCTGTAGGACCGATGTATAGACTGCAAGTATAAGTTTAAGCTTTACCTGAACCCCCCAAACCCTATCTGTTTCGGAAACCTGACAAGGATTTCCTGAAATGGGTCCTGAAAAGGTATAGGCTTTTAGGGGTTCGGCGCTCGCACTCGGACAAGCCAGGCGCTTTTGGGGGGGTGAAGGTTGAAGGTTTAGGAAAGACATGGAACCTCACTGCATTTTCAAGGCCAGAAGAGGTTCGAAGACAAACATGCAGTCTTTCTCTGCTGGGCATCTACGTCCCGAGGCCCTAATATACCAAGGTATGTGTGTGTGTGTGTGTGTGCATGTATGTATATATATATATATATATATATATATATATATGTGTGTGTGTGTGTGTGTGTGTGTGTGTGTATGTATATATATATATATATATATATATACATATATATATATACATACATACATACACACACATACACACACACACATATAAAAACATTCTGTCTTATTCCTCAGGGCTCCTACTCTTGATTCAACGTATGTATTGCAATACTGAATATACTAAAAAACCCTGACACAACCCCCAAACCCCTCTTATCCCAAAGCCCTCAACCCAAAACCCTTCCGAACTCTAGGGTTCAGGGTTTCTCTGATAGCTCCGTTCTTACTTACCTGAAACACCCTGCAGTCATTTCAACAGCGTCCAGTGGCCGCACGAACCGGACCATGCGCAGGAGGTGGAGATTACCGGAGCCTTCCGTAGGGTTTAGGGTTTAGGGGTTTAGGGTTTAGGGGTTTAGTAGGGGTCCAGGGTTAAGGGTTTAGGGTAGTTGGCTTAGGGTTTCGGGGAATTTGAGATTTGCTTTCAGGGGTTTGGTTTTTGAAGGGGTTTTGAGACATCGACAGGTCTAACGACGGCTTAGAGGTTTAAGAAAAGGATTCCTGGTGCGGCTGTAAAGGCTTAGGTCATTCTCGTCGACCCTCTGCACCCCTCAAAATCCCATTTGCTTTGAAACAGTTATGGTTTAGGGTTTAGGGTTTAGGGTTATCCCGTTTGTTTTGAAACAGTTATGGTTTCAACAGCTCTCATGAGGGTTTACAGGCTTTGAGTTGGGAATTCCCGAATCCCAGCGCTTCGGGGATACAGGGCGTCCAGGGTAGAGAGCGTTTCAGAAACTCGAAGCACCTTCGGGACAGCCTGAACAACTCCGAAAAACAATACCCAGAACTCCCTAAACCCCCACAAACCCTGAACCCATAAATCCTACACCCCTAAACCCTAAACCCATAAATCCAACACCCCTACACACCTAAACCCATATACCCATAAACCCTGGAACCCACCCCTTCAAGCCCTCAGTTCCGCCTAGGGAGAGCACGGTCGGCCAGCCCAGAAGCACCGCAAGGAGGTCCACCACATTCCAGCGATTGCAGAAATATTGAGAGCCTCGCCAGCAGCAGCATTAGAGTTAAAGCCTTCAGCATTCAAAATCGGTTTTGTGGGGGATGTCAAGACCCTAAACCTTGGGTGAGGCCCCCACTCCGTCATGGCTGAAAAATATTTGTACAGATATCTTAGGACCTTAACAGTAGCCCTATTATAGAGTCTTACTGTATGGAGGCAGTACCTAACCTAAACCCTACGAAGCCCCACCAATCAAATCCTGCCCCTAAAAGCCGGCGAGTTGCGCTCCACAAAGGCCCGACAGAGCGCTTCAAGTGTGTAGACGCTGAGAAGTGTGAGGTTCACCTCACATTAGGTGTTATTATTTAGGGTATGGCTCTGATCTTAAGACTTCAAGGCTTGTTTTTGGAACCCCTTTTTTAGATTTCAAAACTCGATTGACATGATGTTCAAGGTAGTTTAGGGGCTCCCCCACCTACGCCGACAATCGCGGTTCTGCGGCTTGCAGGGCTGCGTTGTGACGAGGTAGGACGCGGGGTTCCGGAGCGGTGGAGCTTCGATTCTCAGCTTCCTTCCGTGGTGGCGAGGTCTGGTTTGGGGTTTAGGGTTTCGACACGCATGCTCGCACGAAGCAGGGTTTAGGGTTCAGGGCTTAGGCGGTTAGGATGTTGGAGTTTCGAATTCCGTCGGTTTACGACTCTTGACCAGCCCACGAGCACCCTCAGGGATCGGCTCACATCCCGACCCGTACTACCCAAGGATTCTGAGCAACCGATCACCGGCTTAATGGAAAGACTACAAGTTTTTTTAAGCCTTTGAAACAAATTAGTAGGCAAGATCCTCTTAAGCCCAATAAGAGGCCATATAAAATGTCCCAAAGCCCTACCTAGATGATGTTGGGCTCCCGGGCTTATCCCAACCATTGCCGAAGATCAAGGCAGCTCAACCCCAAACCGAGTGGCTAACCGCAGCCACTCCAGCAGCTCACTCCGCTGGGGGCAGGCATCATACCGGCCAGCATAGTCCTCAGCGGGGTTCCCAGCAGAGCTGAAGCGTATAAGGTGACCAGCAGGCTCGAGTGGTAGGGGCCTTTATAATTAGAACAAGGCTTTGAGGCCCTTTATACTATAGTTATAATAAGGACCCCCCCCCCCCCATAGTATAGGTGCGTATTAGCGCCTCTGTATTAGATGGCGTCTAGGTTTGCTGGCTGAAGGGCCGTCTGGCAAACGGGTTTAGCCAAATGAAGCTTGGCCTAAACCGTAATTAGCCGTAGTCGCAACTACGACAGGTTCTACGGGGGTCTGACCGGCTTGGTTGGGAGGTGTTCCGAGCTCTTCAACCCTACCTGAAACCCAGACACCTTACCTGTTTTAAGGACTTACATGAGGAAGTCAGAATCGGGTCTAGGTAAGCCCCAAACCCTAAGGGTCCGAGTACCTAATAATCATATACTCTCCCAAATGGTAACCTAGGGTCCTTTGGACCCTTAGGGAAACTCTCTAAAGCGGAGGAAAGAGTCGGGGTAGCACTTCGAATCTCGATCCGACTCGAAGACGATGAAGCCGAAGTTGATGAGAATCCTCGGCTGCTCTGAAACTGCCCTTTGGTTAGTAGGGAATGGTTCCTTAAAGGGATCTATAGGGTTCCTTAAAGGGATCTATAGGGGTTCCTTATAATGGCATCTATAGGGGTTTTTGTACCTGTGGTTAGTAGGGAATGGAAGAATTGTAGTAATGCTAGTTATAGCTGTACCCAATTCCTCCATTCCCTACTAACCAAAGGCAAGGAAAGCCACGGTTTAGGGCTTTTGCTCGTTTTTCGTTTGGGGTTTCGGGGTTTAGGGCTTCTAACTGTGACTTAGCGGCTGAGTACCCTAGCCCAAAACAGGTTAACTTTTTGCATTTGGGCGGATTCTATAAGCACCAACAGGTGAAAGGATAGCTACACAGCTATTAAGTTGAGGGTTTAGGGGTGAGGGGGGGAGTGGGAGAGGATGCGATGCACGGAAAATGCAAGCAGAGTCAGGCATCAAATGTTGCTAAAGTTGAGGCGGCCGTAGACCTGTCTGTTAAGGGCTTCGATGAACAACCTGCAAGACAAATCATGTCAGGTAGCTTAAACTCATTATTATGTTAAACGACATGCATATATATGTATATATAGTATTCAACATGGCAATGAATGTAGGAATGTATGACAACAAGGATGCGAAGGATACGTTTATGGTCAAGCTTCAGGCCCGATCTCTGATACCCTCAGGGTTTCTCTGCGGCCCAGAATCACCAAGCCCATGCAGCTCTCGAAGGCCTGGCAAAGGAGAGATCAGACTTCTGGGGCCGAGAGGAAGGCTAAACCCACCTGTAGTCCCCGTTGTAGCTCCTTTTTTGGGGGTTACCTTTTAGGATCCAAAATATATAATTGGTTAAACCAAAAGAAGGAACTACAATGGAGACCATAGGCAGGGTTTAGGGCTAAGGGCGAACACTGAACTCCTGAAGCATCCTAAACATGGGGTTCTGCACAAGTAGTCCCTCCTGCAAAAGACTGGATCTACAGATAAAATGTTTCGTACTTGGGCAACTGTTCATGATCAATTGGGATTACGGGTTAAGGCGGGCCGAAGAATCAATTGAGCTTCTGAGCCCCACGAAACCAAACCCTCCAAGCCCAAAGTCCACCTCTGAAGCCTGACTGAACACACCTTCAGCACTAAACCCTAATCCCCTGAATCCTAGACCTTAGACCCTTCTCCTTTACTAGCCTAGCCAACGTGAGTATTCTCATGGGGATGCTCGTCTTTCAGGTTCAAAAACTACCCTGAACCCCACATCGACAAAGTCTCTCATGGGAGGCTGAAGAACTTTGCAATTCTTGTGTTTAAGCTTCAGCTCTTCGCAGAAAGCCGTCCGGGAAATTTTGAAGGCCGGCCACTCCCATCAAAAACGTCGAAGAAGGCGGTTTAGGGTTTAGGCTTTCAGCTTCTAAACTGAACACGGGGAACCATTCATATTTGTTCAGCGTTACAGCATCAACAAAGCTGCAATTCGCAGATGCCGCGCTTTATACGCTTCAGAAAGATGGGTCTTGGGGTTCGATGGCTATTGAATGCAGCATCGCCTGGGAGAGCACCACTCGTGCAGCTCGAATGCGCCACTTGGACCAGAGGATCAAACCATCCTTGCTTAGAGGATCATGGGACTTAGTAAGTAGGGTTGTAAGTAAGGTAACTATAGTTATATCTACTTATAACCCCAATTACGGTCCTTATAACCCTGCTTACTAAGTCCCATGATCCTCCAAGTGGGTCTAGAAGCGGAAGAGGACCCAAGCCCGATCCCACGGCCTAAGAACTCAAAAGCCTGTATAGGGATTCCCAGAGACTCCAATATCCCTTAATTAAGGAATATACCTTAAATTATAGTAGGATCCTTAATATAATTTAAGGTATATTCCTTAATTAAGGGATATTGGAGTCTCTGGGTTTGGGGTTTAGGGTAAAGCGCATCATATAAGACACATGAAGAGTCCAAACCCGACTGTAAGCCCTAGCTTCTACTTCTACCCAACTGCCCCAGGCCCCAACCTAAACCCTATAGCCCTAATCTAAAGGGTTCAGCATTCAGAGCTTTGGAAGCTTGCCAGGATCGACTGAAGGACGCCTGGCCTTGAAGGGACCCCGGGAGCATCGACGAGAACACTCAGGTATAAAGGTTCACACTGCGTTAGGGGACCCTTGGGTTTTTCCCTCTCGCATTGCTGGCCCCTGGCAGTTAGGGGTTTCAATGATCATAAAGGAGTCGAAGCATCCGAGTCCATCCAAGGCTTTGCCTCGTCATTCCTGGGTAAGGGCGTTGTTACAGGTCATGCCGGGCTTTACGGCTTTGGGCTTACTGGGTTTGGCCGTGTCTTTCTCTTCAGGCTGCTTCTCCTGCGAAACACAAGACCGCCATGGCGAGCGCAGCCACCGAACCTGTGTAATATGGGGCCCGAATGACTGGAATAGGGTTTTGGGGGTATGTAAAGCAAACTGTCTGTATTATACGAAGAAATCCGAAGCAATGATATGTTTGAGTAAATATTCCGACCACTATATGACAGGGTCGAGACCCGACATTGTTGATGGCTTTGTGGCTTTGGAGTCTTCAGAGATGTGGTGATGTGTCGTAACTCTAGAGGCCACGGCGACACCGCTTGTGTTTAGTAGGCACAGGTGGCTGTGCAAGCGGGCTTGCTGACGAGGGATCTTTTCGCGGCCGCACTCTTTGCTTACGATACTTTGCTTGCTCTGGCGCTCGCGGAGTGTTGGCGATCTCATGCGATGAACCTGAGGAGATTCTGCTTCGATGGTGGAAACGATGACCATGCGCTTGTTATGAGCTAGCTTAGACAGTTCATCCACGGCCGTCACGCCGTCGGAGTTCGATCCGAGGACATCAAGGTGCTCTGGGTTTGGGGACCCTGCACGTGTGCGCACCTTGATGGCGATCAGGGACAGTAATATCACGGTCACAATAATAACCCTCCCCCGCCCCTCCCCCCCCGAGGTTGTTTTGCCGGGGGTCTTGGGGCAGGGTGTGGGGTCAGGGTGGCAATCATAAACGTCCGGCCGTGTCCGGGGATTGTAGTAATCGTAGCAACAGTAGTAATAATTACTTAGTAGTAATAGTAGCAATAGTAGTAATAGTGATAGTAGTAGTAACGGTAGTAGCTAGTACTGATTAGTAATAATAGCAATAATAGTAATAATAATACTAATCATATTTAGCTTTTCGAGTTGCTTAGCCTGGATCCTAATTTTTTGGGGGATTTAGGGCCCGGAATATTTTAATTGTCACCCATGTCACCCCTTAAATTATTGCGACCCAGGCTCTAACCTCAATTGCTTGGGCAGATTGGCTTCGCAATCTGAACTCCTCTTCCGACCGGAAATTCGCCCCCGGGAATATTTTAATTGCCACCGGGCATCATAATAATGACCGTAGCATTACGCCTAAACAAAATGGCCCAATAAGGAAGCCCCTGACGCCGAAATTGAAGTTACCGGACCGGAGCTTCCACTTTGCTTGCCCCGGGCTTGTAACTTCTATCCTTGTCGATTGAAGGTTTCATGGTTCGCCTCGCCATGATTGAAGCTTTCGGGCATCATTGAGACCCCTCGTCCGTCACCCCTGAAACTCGCAAAGCTTTCTCACGATGTCCGAGAATCATTTTGTACCGCATGCTCTGCAGCTGGCGCAGGGTGTGATGAAGCTTCTGCTGGCGGCTCGACAATCGCTTCTGCTGCCCCATCCAAGACAATTGCGTGGCCACCTGCAAGGTCGAACAGAACTCAAACCATAAAGGGAACTCCAGAAAGTTGGAATATGGATTTATGGTAGGATCCCCCATAATTGACCTTAAAGGGGTTACGATAATGATATTCCAACTTTCTGGCTTCTACTGTAAGCCCTCAACGTGGATTTCTTGTCTCCTGCCTAACTGACTGGCAGGCTCATGGCAGTCAATGTCAGCAAAACCCACACACGAGTCTTTGTGCACTTGTGCGTATTGAAGCCCCTATAATATATTTAATATACTTAGTAAGACTTAGTACCGTTGTAGATCTCTTTTAGTTTTTAGTCCGGTTGGAATAAAGGAACCCTATTTTGGTTATCAAGGCCCCCAATGGAGGCCAGACCCCACACATTACCATGCCATTCAACCCGCAGCCGCTCAGAGCAATCCCAGACCCCCGGGAGGATCTAAAAAGTAGATCCCTTAATAGGGGGTTCCTGTAAAGTACCCTTAGTAGTATAAGGCCCCAAATTAGGGGATCTGCTTTCTAGATCCTCCCGGGGGTCTGGGATGTTCGGAGTGTGCGTGACTCTACCCATCGCCCCTCCGCCAAACACATGTGCCCAATTAGGGTGCAGGTTTTGGGCTTCAAGACGCCGCAGCGCCCGGAAAAAGAGACTGCCCTGCCTAACCAGTGGTTTTGGGGGTTCCCTTGGCTCTTTAGCTCCTTATTTAATAGGGATTATCATCATCCCTGGCTCCTTAGCTCCCCCAATACCAATGACTGCCCTGCCCCCACCTGGGAGCTGTTGGCAGGCGGCTGCCGTGCCTCGGATAACCCAAAGAAGCTCAGGGTTTCCCAGTCATAGGGGTCCCTAAAGGGATCTATAGGGTTCCTTGCAGGGATTTATGGGGTTTAGTTGAGGGTTTAGGGTCTACTTGGAGGATCATGGGACTTAGTAAGTAGGGTTTTAAGTACCCTAATTGGGGTGATAAGTAGATATAACTATAGTTACCTTACTTACAACCCTACTTACTAGGTCCCACGGTCCTCTAAGTAGTGCCTCGAAGGTTCTACTTCATGATTGGCGCGCGCTTAAGCATGCAGAATATAGGGGCCTCATTAATTAGAATAGGGCGTTGAGGCCCACTTTTCCAGATTTTTGCTAAACAACCCTTAAAATAGTATTGGTAATCATTTAAGCCCCTATATTGAAGTGGTTGTTAAGCCCGAAACCCAGGCCCCTCAAAATTAACACCCGCCGTGAATAACTGCAAACCTGTAGGGTTTAGGGGTTTTGGGTTTAGGTTTGAGGGCTGTAGGGTTTAGGCTTCAGGGGTAGTTTAGGGTTGAGGGGTTTAGGGATTTAGGGTTTTAGGGTTCCCAGGTTTCGAGCTAAGTTGGCGGATGGAAAATCCGAGTGCGGGGTGAGGTCTGAATACAGCGCGCCCAGGTACGGAGACATCGGTGATGGATGCGAAAACTGTGTCCTCTGCCTGGCTGTCATCGGATCTATCGGTCTTAATATTATACTATACCCCCATGGCATCCCTATTTTATCTATTGAGGCCCTCTGTTAAGGCTTTTTGCTTTGGCATCAAGAAAGCAGAAAACCACCTAAGTCCGATGGCAGCAAACGGGCGCCCAACATGGCCTTTGGGCTCATTCCTACGCTAGTCCATGGTTGGGATAGTATTAGATATATGTATATATATATATGTAAACTTCTATTCCTTCTTGGTTTTTGAGTAACCATAAATTTGAAAAATGTTACTCAACTGTGACAAAGTAAACCCAAAAGCCTGATCCTTTTTGGGATTGAGTACCCATAGGCACATGTAGTGCTACCCAACTACGACAAAGTAAACCCTAGACCCCTAAAGAACTGCTTTGCTCAAAGGGCTCTGGGCTTTCGAGATTCGGCCTGCGAGCTCCTGTGGTGCGAATCTACGAACCCTTCATAATTCGAAGAGGGGCCCGGGGCTCAAGGGGTTGGTTTAGGGTTTGAGGGTTTAGGGTTTAGACGCAGGCTTTAACAGAAAATTTAAGCGGGCTGGCAATGTTAGCATAAGCAGGATCTCTCAAGAAAAGTGTTGGTAATTCTTTAGGCTTCTCTGTTAGCTGTTTTGCGTTCGGGCGTCGAGTTGGCCTCGAGGCCTTAAAGAGCCTACATCGAAATTCCCAAAACATCAGCGATCCTCCTTCTTCTGGCTTTCCTCCGCTCCGCTGCCCTTCCCAGGCCATGACAGGAAATGATCCATAGTGGCTGGCCTGGGTTGGGCTCAAGGACTCTCTGATCGACTTTGCGAGCGCTTGAAGGACCTCAGACGAGTTTTGGAAAGTTTCCACCGGGCTTTAGCTTACCTTGGGTTAGTAGTGAATGGAAGAATGGTATTAATAGTAGTTATAATTGTACCCCATTCCTCCATTCCCTACTGACCAAAGGTAAGTTAGGGAGTGTTGCAGACTTCCTCAAAGCCTTGGGATGTCTTCCGCACATTGGCCGAGGTGCTGCAGATCCGGAAGCGAAGTGCTCCTCGGAGCTTCGGGAGCTGTTATACTTTATAGCAAGGGTGCTATACTATTTTGGCCCCCTGAAAAGGGACCCTGACTTAGAGAACTATCTCATCCAGTAACAAGAAGCCGGCTCGTGGTTCCGGAGTTTCCGGGCTCGCGGCTTGTGGTTGAAGTATCTTTGGCCCGGAGTTTGCTGTTTGCAAGGAGTCGAGCTTCGTTGTTCAAGGAGGTGCTCTTCGGTATTGTTACATCTCCTTGCACACCGTGTCTAGAGGCTTCAGATCCCGAACATGTAATTAGTGGCAAAACCTGAAGAGTATGCATACGACGCCAATGGCTGCTGCCAGGAGCTCCACACCATAAGCCAAAGCTATGCCATGCTGCCTGGACGGGCGTACCCTCGATTGGTGCGACCCCTCTAGAGAGCCTGGATATCAATTTGGAGGTACACATACCAAAAAAACACAAGGCAGCTGACAAGTCTGGCACCTCTTGATCTATCTAGGTCTGCTAGAAGAATGACTTTAGCAAGCGCCAAGCCGTCTCCCCATGACTCGCCCCAAAGAAGCTCCGACACCAAGGCTCTTTTCCGGAGCTATGCTCACATCGGGAGCCGCGCCCCCGAGGCTGCGAAGCTGCTGGGCACGCTCCCGAAGCTGCGACGAGTGCTCCTCAGCTATGTGGGAGTTTCCGAAAATTAGGGGTGCCTCAGGGTTCCTTTGAAGGATCTATGAGGGTTCTATGAAAGGTTTAGGGTTTAGAGTTTCCAAAAATTCGGGGTACCTTATGTTGGCAGGGTCCTTATAGTCAGGATCTTCCCTATTTAGGGCAGTGTATTAGGGTCCCCTATTTTCGGAAGGCTACCGGCATTGACTGTGTAATTAAGGAGCTAGAGACATGAACCATCGACCCTGCACCAATTCAATGAATTCAAGAAGAACCTATCTTAAATACACGGCAAGCCTTGGATTTCAAAACCCTACGTACCATAAGCCCGCATCAAAGCGCACCCTAAACCCTAAACCGCAGGCTATTATTTAGTGCGAAGCCAAGGCTCATGAAGGAGGCTCATCATTTCCTGCACCATCCACCTCTGCACCAGAATCCCTTCCCTTAGGTTTAGGGTTTAGGGGCTACAGAAAAGTATACCATCAAAGCAACACCCAAAAGACCCTTGCCAGCCAAACAAAGCCACTTCCGCAGCTCCATGACCGAGTACTTCACCTCACTTGCAACGTGAAAAGCTGGAAGCAAATCGAACGAGGTCTCTTAATCCCAAAGACCTAAACTTGAGACATTTTGCCATGTATTCTCCACAGCATGATGAGGCATAACAAAGGTAGTCTGAAGCTGTTCCCGGAAGTTGAGCCCGGACTAGAAATAATCACGAACAGCGGCTATGTTGTAGGGGCCTTCATGATTCCTTCGGTTTCGGATTTTGCCTTCCTTTTTCGTCTCTTATGGTACCCTCATAAGGCGCATGATCTCCCAAAGCCCTATACAAAACGACATAAACCCCCACAACACCTCTCGAATCCCGTGAACCCGAATCAAAACAAGAAAACCGCCCTAGAATCCCAGGAAGCCCTAAATTATATAACATAATATGGGGGGTCCGCACAACCCTATGCGCGGGTTTAGTCTGCTGCCTGCTTGCTTAGATTCGCAGTTTCACATGGGTCGGTAATTTATGTGGCAAACAAGTCTCGATGGAAAAGAGGTTCTTCTGCGCGGTACGGGTTCCTTTCAGCAAGGTATTCTTCGAAAATGGCAGGCGCACATCACAAACATCACCAAACAACGGAGTCACTTGTACTGGAAGTGCGAGTAGTTCTTGTTAGGAAGGCAGATAATAAGCGAAATTCCCGCACCGCACCGCCTCATTCCGGAGCATTCGATACTGCACTTAAACAAACTTCGGAAAACTGCGAGGATCTTGGGACTTAGTAAGTAGGGTCATAAGTAAGGAAGATATAGTTATATCTACTTAGAACCCCAATTAAGGTACTTATAACCCTACTTACTACTAGTAAGTCCCATGATCCTCCAGGTATACCTAATATGCCTAGGAACTCCTCAAAACAAGCATGTAAAACCATCGAGAAACCTCTGAAGCTCAACCCTAAACCGCAACTCCCAAACACTCGAAGCCCTAAACACCCTAAGTTCCTAAGCCCCCTAAACCCGAGGCCTTAGGTACGGCCCCCATACAGAACAGTCTATAATAGAGCTACTATTAAGGTCCTACTATATCTATATTATGAATATTATTCAACTATTACTGAGTGGGGGCCGTACCCAACCGAGGCCCTAAACTTGAAACGCCGTAAGCCCTCAACCCCCCTTAACCCTAAAAGCCCTGAGCCTCCAACATCCGAAAACTCCCTTAAAGTAAAAGCCAGAAAGTTGGAATATGATTATCCTAACCCTTCTATGGTAAATTATAGGGTATCCTACCATGAAACCATATTCCAACTTTCTGGAGTTCCCTTTAACCGCCTGAAGCCCTAAAGCCTCGACTCTCTAAACTAAACCCGCAACCCCCCTAGACCCTAAACACCCCAAACCCTCTTAACCCTAAACCCCAAACCCCTAAACCCTCTTAACCCTAAACCCCTAAACCCCCAAATCCCTAAACCCTAAACCCCAAACCCTAAATCCCTAAACCCTCTTAACCCTAAAGCCTCGAGCGGTCAGGTCGCCAAGGAGTGCATCACCACGGGATCTCGGGCTGAGAAGCTGCCCAGATGCTGGCAGAACTCGAGGTAGGACACCTTCCGAGCTTAGGGGTTTAGGGGTTAGGGATTCTTTAAGGGTTCCTTTACGGGATTCCTTTAGGGGTTTAGGGGTCATGGGGTTGAGGGCTTAGGGGGAGCTAGAAGGGTTCCGTTAAAGGGATCTATATGATTTAGGGGTTTTTTGGCTCACACTCGGACAATCCAGGCGAGGCATATGAGTTCGCGTCTGCAAAGTGAAACGACACTACAGGGAACTCCAGAAAGTTGGAATATGGATTAATGGTAGGATCCCCTATAATTTACCTTAAAGGGGTTACGATAATGATATTCCAACTTTCTGGCTTCTACTGTAAGATGCTCCGTCACTACATTGCAGAGGGGTTTAGGGGGTTCAGGGCGGTATATCGGCGCGTTCACGAATGGAATGGAGGGGTTTTGTTTGCAGAAGACTCTGGTATTCTATGGGAAGTTTTCACTAAAGTACCGGGGCCTTAGTAGTTAGTACTTAGGCTGTCGGGGGAATATTTTGAGAGAGAGTACTGGAACATGTTGATACTTCTTTCTTTCGTGAGGCTATGTGTCCACGTGCAAACGCGCCTACTGCACATGAGTTCAACTAGCAAAAAAGGTGAAACTGAGAGAGACGGCCGGAATATTGTCAATTGACATGGCCTCGGCCAGCCACTGTGCTAGATCTCCTGCCAGCTCCTCTGCACTGTGGAAGCAGAAATGGCAACGCCTGCCCTTTGCTGCACAGGCTAATCCAATATCGAGCCAGGCTAGACAGCACTGCAGCCAATGCAAGTGCTGCCTCTGGGCCCGAAGGGTGGAGGAGTCCGCGTTCCAAAGACAAGAACAGCGAACAGGCGAAGGAGGAAAGCAGAGAATGGCGGCGGCCCATTCCAAGCCGATGAGGGGGGCGACAAGTAAGCGGATAGCATCTCCATCCGCCGCCCGGGAGGACATCAAGACGCGAAGCCTCAGAAAGACCCCGTCCGCCTGCAATAAGCCCCGGTAGACCTGCAGGACGTGGACAAATCAGGAACGGGACAATCCGTGGCCGAAATGAAGGATCTTCCGTTGCGGACAGGCGTCCAACGTGTATCTCCTCACACAGTAGGTCAGCCTGAAAAGATAACAGAACATGTTGATACTATTCTACTAGCTGTTCCAACTTCGATGTTTTTGGGAGAAAGCACTATAATAATTAAGAGGATACTAGTCTCTATGTTTCATGAGGGCCACTTTTTGCGGCTCTGGATTGCAAGCGTGATGTCTTCGTTCGTGAACCCGGGGGACCTGAGGGTAAGGGGTTTCGGGTTTAATTAGGGTTCTAATAGCTCTTGGAGAGTTGGTTTAGAGCCGAGGGTTCAAAGTTTAGGCTGCTGCGGCTGCCACTGCTGTTGCTCAAGCTGTGTTGACTGTGTTTTGTTCGTTCCATGCTTGTTCTTGCAAAACTTGTCATGAGATGCGGGAAAGCCTTCTTGGTTAAGGGCTGCGGAGCACCAACAACTACAACATGGCGAATGTTTGCGGCATCTCGACGTTGAGAGGTGTAGAGATGGTAAAATAAAAGCCATGAGTGCGACCCAAGTTGGTCTTTGGTTTTGATGCCACTGTTTAATCGTGCTTTGCGTTTCTGCTGGGGTAAGTGATTTCAGTTGTCAGTGGTAACCGTCGCTATCAAGCCCACAATATGCAGGGCTGACTGATTAGAAAAGGCATTGCAAAACTTTGCTATAGTTACACCTGGGGAGTACAGGGGGATAGTCTTGCTGCTTATTCCGACTACACCCTAAACTCCTTTACAGCTGGACTACGCATATGCCACGAACCGAGGGGCCGACTGCACCCTAAACCCCTAAACCCTGAAGCCGTAAACCTAAACCCGAAGCCCTCATCTGAATCGTAGCTGGAGGCCTCACCCGAATCGTCGCTGTCCAGTACGCGGAAGATGGTCTGCATGTCCTCCCTCTTCACATCCATCACCTTCAAAGGGCTTAGGG